TTTAAATGTATTCTAGTTTTAGGCTTTGGAGCTCATCTCCCTAAAATTGTGCCATCTCATATAAGGCATTCAATTCATGTTCCATTTTTATATCTTTATCTTTTTGTGTTTTTAATGTCATAGAAACATTCTTAGATAACTGATTAACAAATCCCACTGTCTGATTGGACTGAGACAAAGCCATCATAGTAGTAGCAAGTAAGGTAACAACGGCTGCAATTTCTGCTAAAACTAATCCAACAACATGCTCTTATCTATCTAAAGCTTTTTTAATCATTTGTAACCATTTTCAACAAATCATGGATCATATATATATATATATGTATATATATATATATATAGTCTTTACTATAAAAGAAGGTTGGTTTAACATTATTATATGAGTATGATTGTCTATTTGAGAAATATAATTATTCAAAATGCAATTAAAACATGATATAGTAAATATAGAACCTATTTATAAAAATATTTACCTCTTCAACTAAAAGGACACAGGTAATATGATATAAGCGAAGATATTCTCAATCAAAGGACAAACAGGGCTTTTTTTTAAATCTTTTTTTGGTTTTTCGATATATGGTTTCTGTATAGTTTTGGTGCCTATCTTGGATCTCGCTCTATAGACCAGGGTGGCCTCAAACTCAGATCCATCTGGCTCTGCCTCCCTAGTACTAGGACTAAGGGCGTGCACCACTGCTGCCTGGTGACCAACGGATTTTGATGAACTGGAATGTCCTGCCATTGTCCTCATGGCAGGAGCAAGTTTCCAACATAAGTTTGTGAAAACCCTGTACTGGAATACCAAATTTCAGTTGATAGTCCCAAGATTCAGCTACAGACATAGAATAAGAGTCATTATAATCATATTGATTTCCAGATCAGTCAAGAATATATTGTTGTGTCCCTGTGATGTTGTATTTTAAAGGAATAATGCAAGTACATTACCTCCATAACAAAGTTCTGTTAGACTCTCATAATTCTTTTGTGCATAGAGGCAATCATTGAGGGGGTGAAATATTACTTCCCCAATTACTTTGAGGAAACAATAACTTTGTATAACCAGTACATAGTTTATCTTGCCCCATTATTTGTTTTGAAAACTTTCTAAGACATCCATCTAAAGTAATATTTCTTTTGCAAAACATAAATGAATTCTTTTATCATATGCAAAACAACAAAAATTTTGAGCAATAAGGAATTCTTGAATGGCAAGTTGATCTAAATGCGGGGTATCATTGACTGTGACCACAATCTCCCTTCCTTCCCAAATCACAGGATGTAACACAGGAGGATCAGAAATATAGGGCCAATAAGTCTCACTTGGTGCCTCTGGATGACCATCAGCAACATCAGGACCAGCATTTCTCTGTTCCATATATCATATTAAACGCTCAGGCAGCCAAGGAGCTTCATTTTCCTCCTGTGAAAACACATAAACATGCTCTCATCCCCATATTAAAACAGAGTTGGAACCCTTCATTGATTAAGATTAGAAAAAACTGCTACTAATCTCAAATGTTTCACTTTGATACAGGTTTTTTATATATTTATGCAAATATAAGTTTTTATTATGATATATGCATATATATCCATATGTTTCTATTCTTGTTTGAAATGTTATACAATGTTCTAAACTGTTGGAAAGAAACCACAAGAAAAAGGACTTTGATGAAAATTTGTATGTTTAAAAAAAAAAAAAGAGAAGTCAAAAGACTAAAATTTAAAAAAATAATTGTTTATGTCTGGCTTATGCAAAAGAACATAGAAAAATACCTAGCCTAAAGGCACATGAAAATACAGAAGGCCAAAGAGATATAAAACTATACTAAATTCAAAGAAGAACTCGGAGATATGTTGCAGATTTAACCATATCAGGTTAATTCTGTTTGGTATTTAATTTAAAAAAAAATAGCTAAAGATTCTGCCTCTTCAATATTTAGAATATATATTATATTCCAAAAAAGTAAAGCTTCAAAACTTAAAGATAAAAAGATAAGTTGAGGCCAAGCGGTGGTTGCGCATGCCTCTAATCCCAGCATTCTGGAGGCAGAGGCAGGCGGATCTTTGTGAGTTCGAGGCCAGCCTGGTCTACAGAGCAAGATCAAGGAAAGGCACAAAGCTACACAGAGAAACCCTGTCTTGAAAAACTGAAGAAAAAAATAGGTTGAAAACTTTAAATAATTTTCAGAAGTTATTAGCGGATATTCAATGATTGCAATCTTATTTAAAATTATCTACTGATGATTTAGAACCTTTGAGTCATATTTTAACAAGAGATAATGATCCTAATTCGCCTAGATAATTAATTAAAAAGAACAGGGCTGGGCAGT